ATGACAATGTTAGACGGGCTGCCAAAGCTGCATACTCTGCACACAACAGACGTATGCACATGAAGCTAATGCCACACTGAGCAGTCAGCATGCTGCAGGCATTCAACTTCTACTATAGATTCATGTCAACACAGGCACAGAGCAGCCATACTACCTAATGTATGCACCCTAACCTCCCCAGTGGCCCGGAGGAACTCTACACCAAAGAGGGACATGCTCCAACAGGGCCCCAGCACAGCTCTGCTCCTCAGGCAGTCTCCAGCTAAAGTAGCAGACACACCCACCATATGCTAAGCACAGCATTGCAAAAAAGGCAATATCACCTAAAATTCATCTACTGCATGGAGTTTACATGCAAGCACACACAGCTAACGGTTTCTTTAACCATGTGACAAAACAAAACACTACACTGATAAAAAGATGGTACCCACTTTTCAAAAAAACAATGTCCAGGTGACTTAATCTGAAAAGAAGTGAGCTGCAGGCTCTGCTGTTAGCCCGATGTTCAGTCAACTCTCTGACAAAGGCCTCACCTGGGCCACGTCGCAGCCAACCAAAAACAAACCGTAGATTCAACACACTCAAACAAGCTTCCATTCAAAATCCCTAAGAATGAGCTCTTTTTTTTTGGCCCAAATTTGACTTTTCACACATGTATACAAGTTGTTGACATTTAGCATTTAGCTTACTCACCGGCAACAGTGCAGGATAGTACAGCCCCATCATGGTCTGCTCTGGAGGAACCACTGCCCACTGTGCACTGCTCTCCGGTTCCCTGTGCGTGTCCAGCTCTCCTGCTCCTCCTCTCCTCCTGTGTCTGTGCTCCAGGACCATGAGCTGATGATGGCTTCAGTCCACGTTTGTCTCACACATTCAAATTCTCCCTCGTCTGCTCCCTCCTCCTCCTTCCTTCCCTTTCTCCGGTGTGTCCCTTCTTCTCTCTCTCCTCCAGCACGTAGCTCCTGTCTGTTTGTCACTCCCCGGCCGCCTGTTTTTTTCTCTCAGGCCGTGAACCTCTTCTGGCCTTGCTGTCTTTCTGCTCCTGACAGCCCGAATCTCCTCACTCCACCTCTCTGGTTCCTCTTTGCACCGCGTCTGTCATTCACACGCTTGCGTTACACATCCTGCTGCTCCCCCCTTTGCTTCCCCGTGTTCCCGCCCCTCGTTTAAAAACTTTCCCTCCCTCTTCAGGCTCAATCCCTCCTATCCATCAAAGTATCCATCCTTCAGTAGTAGCCGGCAAGCCCCGTGCCTGGTTAAAGACAGAATGCAGTTGTGGCTGTCTCCTCAAACCCCTGTAGAGAGAAAAGGAACAGGAAGGAAGAAGATGCCGTCTTCTATCCACGCATTGGCTGCTTGAGAGTACAGAACGCGACCCCCACTGCATTGCAGCGTTTTTTGATGATTTATTTATTGCTTGGCAGCCTGTCAGCTCCAAAAAGCAGTGGTAGGTAGGCCAGTCAGTAGACCGCTAGGTAGCATACTGCGTGGGTAGGCTCCTACATCACTATTCCTCTTGTCTTCTTCAACCCTTGTCTGTGGAAAAACCCAGGCGAGCGTGGCTGAACCTAAGCAGGAAGCGGACTAAGGCTGCATTGCGCCTGTTCCCTCCGGCTCCTCATCCCCGCACTTTATTGTTGGAGTGTGCTTAATTCGCAGAGTGCAGTTCCTTGCGCCGCATTTTCATATGGGAGGGACTGAACCCTGCGGAAAAAAAGCCCTGATGCCAAGCTTTCAGACATCTGCTGAGTCTGGCTAGAACTGAGTCCAGGGGGATGCGGAGGGAGGGCCAGAGAAGTGATTGGAGGTGCTTGCGGAGGAAAAAGGGCCAACTCAGGGAGAACAGAGGGTCAGCGGATGCAAACGACAGATAACTGGAGATGCAGATAAAAGGATAAAGGGGAACAGAGAGCGGGATGACAGGATTAGGGCTGTAAGTGAGAGGATGAATAGGGATGATGGCTGGATTAAGCTCACAGGCTGCACCAGGCGATAAACTGTGGCTGTGTAATGTACACACAGATGTGCCGTGATGGGACATGTACCTGCGCTGACACAAACAAACACATGGGCTAAAACAAAGGCCTAGATCTGTCCTCGGCTCATCACACAATTCAAACAAAGGCCTGCTGTGGGCCACCATTTTACATTTCAAAGTGTCGCTGTTTTCAAAACCACTGAAAAAGTGTACTGTTGCAGCTAATTATAAGACATTTTTAACATTTTGAGTTGCAAACAAACAACAGATAAAACTCACGGAACACCAAACTCTGCTATTTTGCTAAATAAAAGGAAAGTTAATAGCATACTTAGCATTTCAAACTGCAAGATGCAAAAATTCATTTCTGTTCCTAGAATTATTTTTTTTTCTTTTTTTCTATACACTTTGTACAGTGCTGAAAAAGCATTTAGTCAGGAGTTGTTATGACCTATATTTCAACCCAACTAAACTTTTCCATGATGTATGTAACCAGCATGTTGCCATTTACTTATGTTGTCATCCCTGATCTTTTACATGACATAAACAGCGGGAGAGTGACATCTCCAGCCCCCAAAGGTCAAAGTGTCTCTTGGCGACTTGTGTCTGGGCCCAATACTTAACTTTACCAGCAGCAGGGCCCCTAGGAGCCTGTCACCATTTAACACATGCATATTGACAGAGGCGAGACCTAGAGGCAGTTCAAACATGCATACATAACATTCGACAGGGGCATTACCAAGACAAATGTACAGCACTATGAAAAAGCCTGTCCAGCCCCGCTACAGCCATTTGCATGATAACCAGGTAGCAGCTAGTGCATGGGGGACTCCTAATGTGTGCTCAAGGGCGGAATATATTAGCCACGATGACTTTTCAATCTTTGATAAAAACAGAGTTACGTGTTAAACAGTGGATGTAAAAAGAGGAGTTGAACGTGGCCCATTGCAGAGAGCAGTTCAGGTGTTGGCCTTGTTTGCTTCAGACGTGCAAATGGCCAAGACTCGCGTTTGGCATAGTATTCATTATGTATGATTTATGCCCACGAGTTTTCAGTTATGTTGTTTTCATATTTTCAAGTTTTATTGCCTTACAATTTTTAGTGGTCAGGCAAAGTGAACACATTTGATAGACACATGTGCAAAATGGCTATATAACATTTGAAATAAATACGTAAGCTGTTATTATTTGTTTATTTAGTTAGAACATGATATGCTTGCTATAAATATAATGAAGTAGCCATGAGCTATTTTCCATCCATTGGCCCACACTGTCAAACACACTTTTCATACACCAGCATACACAGACATTGGACACAGGTGGGTGAAGTGTCTTTCCTAAAAATACATATGCACAGGTCTGAGTGGGAGTCTAACTCTACTTTGGGGTTGGAGGATGAGCACTCTAACCACTAAGCCACTGCTGCCCTACTGTAGGACTCAGTCTCCCAGTACTAACCAAGTCTAATCAAGCCTAACCCAATGTATCTTATGAGATTAGAGTTTTTATAGTAATTAAAATCTATTCAATCCATTACAGTCATAACTGTTTTAGTTAAGATACTACAGACAAAACATCAATCACTGAATCATTTCAAAAGTGAATTCCTAAATTAACCAAAACATAATAATTAAAGTTGCATCGACATCTACATCTACATTATTCCAGTTATGTGCTTAATATTTAACTGTATATATTTGTGTTACATACTGGAAATATGCAGTTAGTTGAGCATTTTCAAAACATAAATGCGTTATAGTTATTGCTCAGTTATTTCATTATTGTTAGTGACCTGACGCTAAAGGATCAGTAACACTGAATCATCTTACTGCAATACCAAGCAGGTGACTATCCGCCAAACACATGGTATTTTTATCAAGACCGAAGCCAAAACCATTTCTTTGATGTCAGCACAAAAATGAGTGCGTATTATTAACTACACCTACATAATAATAACACATCAGTTTTATATAGTGCTTTTCTGGACACTCAAAGATGCTTTACAGAGAATTACATGTACAAAGAATTTATGTAAACTTAGACTGTTTCACCGTACTTCAATGAGAAAACTACTATAGAACTGGGTTTTTAAGATGCGTCTTGTAACCCTAATACTGTGTGGTCCATAAATGTTTGCTCCATCCCAGACATGACGCAGAAAGTTAACTCAATCTCATAACCTAAAGAAGTCGTCAGCTTGTTCCTATCCTCTGTCACGCCGCTGGAGAAGTATATTCCCCAGAAAGGAGAAGTGTGGGGCGTGCGGGAAGAGAGCGGACAGTGAGCACAGGCTGGGGGCCAGTGCGCTGTGAAGAGGAGGAGGAGGCTGGGGGGCCATTGGGCTCAGCAGACCAACACTCCCCTCCTGTGGCACTGCCAGAGAGCTGCACATCCAACACAGGCCACAAGCAGCAGACAAAGGAACACGCATGGAGGCTTCAGAGGCTGGCATGTGTGCTCCGGTGGCACGCGCTAAGCCACTCTCAGCACTGCTTGGAGGTAGATAAGACAGCTACCCGGCCACTGCACTGCACACGCACACCACTCATTATTGTGAGCAATATGCATGGAGAGATAGTTCGACTGAGAGCGAGAGAGGGGAAGGGGTGGCATTGTGAGGCAGCGCAGCATGCACAGAGCCTGGCTTAGTTTAAAGCAGCCAATAGCTTAATGTCTATTTTCAAAGGGTCAGAGCTGTGAAAAGAGGTTCAATCGCTAGTTTCTCTTTCATCAATCCCTCTAACAGCCATCATTTATGAGGCACAGAGGCTGTGGCAGGAAAATATAACAGCATGATACAATGGAGCAGATCATTACTAAAGACAAAATATGACGGTCGACAAGAAGCACATGAACTTCACCGATTTCAAAGAGAATATTTTTAACAAGGCTTACATAACACCAGATACAGAAACTATTTGCTTTTATCACAGTCACATCTCAGTGCAATAACATCCAAGGATATTCTTTGAAATTATTCACAATTTTTACAATGGTTTGCAAGCAGTCACTAATCTCTTACCTGACTGTGAGGTGGGTATCCATGGAAACCAGGATTTAAAGGCTCATTGTTCTGCAAGAGACAACAGGAGGGAAGAGAGTGGTGAGTGGCAGCACTTTGAAAAAGCACACGGATGCAGCATGACAGTCCCAAACTTTTACATTTCAGCTGGAGAGCTCTTGAGCTGAAAAACAGCTGCACTTAGCTTGTTTTTTTTACAGGGAGTACACAGGTATGATCATTCTGAGGATCAAAGTCACAAGGTACTTCACCGCAACAGCACAGACAAGTGTTATTGGCTCATTATTCTCACACAGAGAGAAATTGGCAAAAAGGTAATTTCACACGTGTTAATATGTTTATTTGCAAACAAATATTTTCGTGTGGATAGAGCCGGAAGGTTTGATAAAAACAGTTTACCAGACTAGTTTGTCTGCGTAAATCCAGACTACAGAAGAAACTAGAGAAACTACATTTCAGTTTTCTAGCAGTCAATGATCAGCTTGAGTCTAGTTATTGGAGAGGTCCACAGCCAATCCTCTGTGAGAAAAAAACATTTATTTTGGAGCACAGTTCAGACGAATTTTTGTGTTGAATGGCAATGATTTACACATTGTCTTTTATGTTGATGTTGAAACCCATACATTTTGTTTTTGCTGGCAACATGGTGGGGGGTAATAATCTTCATTTGATGTTGAACAATTATTTAGACAAAATTTTATCACTTGGCTCAAGAGCAAAGTTAAAAGGAGTTCAAACAAGGACAAGTTCCCTCCTACATAGTCCTAAGGAGGCTGGGCAGCCCCTGCAGCCCACCCCTCCCGGATTACTCCTGCCCTAGAAACCTTTGTTGTGCCTAATTGCTTGGTAATTGTTCTTAATTCAATTATTTCTCAACTGGTATAGCTAATTCGTGTGTTATTTCACCAGGCATTGATTTGTGCTGAGCCATAGTTGAGGAGACAAAGAGCGAGGAATCGAGGAGGGGCTCTGGAACAATGTGGAAAGTTAACCGAATGATGATATTTTGACAGCAGAGAGAGATGATAACTGTGCGCTCTTGCCTGCTGGTATGCCTAGCAGAGAAAACATGGCCGCCTGGGGAGACTCATGCCTCAGCTCCATCACGCACAAGTGGGAGGGGAAAAGGGAGTGCGTGTCTGAGGGCCAGTGGGGTTCTCTCACATTTAGTGTAAGGGTAGGGCGTTAAGACTACAGCTCAGCAGTTCTGAGGAAAACACAAAGAAATGCCAAGATTTCAAGCAGTATTTTTAACTCGTATGCCTTTAAAAAAGTGCTGACTACTGTAAAAGTCTACCACCTATCTTGAAATCCATAACTTTTAATGCAACTTGTAAATTGTATTGTAATTTGTTTAAAAACAAATAACTGAGCCAATATATTCAAGTGTATTGCAACAAAAATACAGATTACCATTAATGATAACATCAAAGTACAATCCAATTTTGCTCATAAAATTATGAGATATTGCAGTAAGTTAATTCAACTGTACACAATTCACCTTTACATAACAGATAATACTCCCTACAACTGTATGACAACTCACCCTTATGTAACGGATAACCATATGTCCTGTCAATCATCATATCATCATTGCACTGTCTCCCTCCTGTATAAAGCTGTGATTTAATGTACATTTTAAATGTATATAATTATGCCTTATTTGACTATCCTGTTTCATCAGCCGGTTTCACTTCGTAGAAACTATCTGACCTTGCAGTGTTAGAATTTGTTCGCTCGGCCTTTTCTCAAATCCCATAGGAAGAAGGGCAATAACGTCTTTCCCCTTGATAAAATTCATCGAACATTCTCTTTATTCCGGCTTTAAATCCTCGATCTCGGTAATCGTTGACAACACAGAATGTATGGCTTCTCGCCGTTTGGCTGATGATTGAACTTGCACTTCTGTGGTTTTTGCAAACCGTCTAGTGTATTCCAATTCCTGACCTAGTCGCTGGAGAGAAATTAAATTGAGCGGAGGCACTAGGTGGCGCCACCCTGGCTATTATTTGACCTCTCTTGCCATCTTTTTGTTACTTATTTAGAATTTATTATTACTATTATTATTTATATTGCCGCTCTTTTTATTATATTATATTGTGATGTGTGAGATCCTGTGCCCAAATAATTTCCCTTGTGAATCAATAAAATTAGTTTAAGTCTAAATACCATTGACACTGACTAGAACAGTTTAAGATTAACATGACTCTTGTGGTGTTAAACCCTAAACTTGTAGAATGCAGATTCACAGCCTAAACATATTCTACACTAATGCATATTTAAGGAGGTGGAGCTCAGAATGTAATCCTCTAGCAACACCTAGCCCTCCTGTCCTGCATGTATGTATAGGGGGATGGGTGTTAGGCTGGCGTTAGAAGTCCCGATGTTTTCATTACATTTAATCTCCCGGACTAGCAGCAGACAAAATGTTTCTATTCATGGGTCCTGCTCACACACTGGTCCAGCTTGAGAGTAGGCTGCATAGTGTGTCCTGACTCGCGAAGAGTGTCAACAGTGTTAACCCCGTGGCCCTGACCTCCAGCTGCCTGCCCACTTCCTGGTTTGCTCATTGAGCCAATCAAGCGCAAGTGTCAGAAGCTGGAGGGATGGCAGTGGAAGCATATTGACATCCAGCTTGTCCAAACCTGCACTCTAATGGCCAGGCGAGTGGGTGCAGAACAAACAGCCTGCTCAATATGAGTCTTTGTCGACTGTTCCAACATTGTAAAATTAGATTGTGTTTTTTCTGTGTCTGGTGTTAGAACTTGTCATCATTACACATGTAGTGATTTCAAGGCGAGAAAGGAGGCAGTTATCCAAACAGAAGTGGGCTAGGCAGGAGGTACAATGGAGTATTCGCAGTGTGTAATCCCCCAGTGGTGAGGCACAGCTGGGGGCCTGGCAAGTGTCGCTCCAGTTGTTATTAATTGTGTTATTGTTCACACACTTTGTTGTTACTGATAGGAAAAACTTATCTCTGGTATTCAGAGTTTCACATCTTGTACAGCATGCAGTGTTCTTGATAGTTCAGTAATGATGACAGCACCAGCATTATTACAGCTTTGCGTATTCTTACAAAACAAAATGATTTCCCATAATGATGACATAATCAGAGTTTATAGGCTGCAATCTAATGTTTTTTTACTTGCATGCCCGCTCAAATACATTCACCTTTCAATCCTTTCTAAAAGCTTCTTTGTACGTTTTAATATACTGTACAACTGTAAACGCATAAGTTAAAAGCAAAAACAGATGTGTATAGGGCATATGACCACCTAAAGGGAAGAAAAGTCTAAATTTTGTGGGCTGAAGAGAATGAATGAGGTAGGCAAAAAGCTATATGTGAGACTTAGGTACACTTTTATGATGCTAGGCCACTCAACCTTGACCCTGTGGGTATATGTGTCCGCAAACCCACTCGTTCTCAAACAACACTTTCTTTGTCTCCGCTCACCACTTCCTGTTTCATCTGGAACTAATTTCCCCCTCGTGCCTCGTCCCCAGGGGGAACACTCTCCTTGGTGCGCCATGGTAGCACTAGATCGGGCAGACGGACATATAATAAGATAGTGAGTGTGTTAAGGTTGTGGTGCTGGGAGCTGCGTGTCATGTCCGCAGGGGCCTGGGCGATGTAGCAAAAGGCTCCTATTGAAATGAGTCAACTCGTACCGCAGTGAATTTCAACGGATATATATACGAATAAAGCGTGAGGGGATCAGCTGGCGTGGTGTACTCATTAAGGTGAATCACAATAAAACCAAATGAGCTGAAAGTCGAGAGGTTAGAGAAACTAGGCTTTGCAGGAGGATTATGAAGTCAGCAACGATGGAATTCCTGTAAAAATCCAAACCAAATGCACCCAAATTATAGAGCGAGGTCACGAATGGACAAGAAGAAAGAAGAAAAAAAAAAAAACAGGAGGTGGAGCTTAAAGCAACATCTGGAATCAATCTGTCTGAGGCGCAGTGGGAATGGACTGCGAAGAAGAAGGAGGGAAGAAAGACAGGAAGAGAAAGATGAAACCGGGCAGGCATAGAGGAATTTGGACATGGCTTAAGTTAAAGACGGAGAGAGGGAAGGGGGGAGAGCGAAATCAAGCTCTCCAACATTTGCGAAATGGAGAAAATGAGTCAGACGCGAAGAATGCATGTGATTTATATTTTCTTAAGGGAGTGGGGGAGGGGGGCGAACTTGATACCTCATTTACCCATGGTCTGCCTTTACCATATGGCATTGCATTTAAGTCCGTTACACGCCTGCACGTCTCCCAGGCACTTTTGTTCCTCCCTATACCGCAGTTTGGGATATAAAATGGAAAAAGTGATGCCGAGTTGAAAACACTGGCAACTTTTTAGAGTAGTTTGTAGAGTGCCCAAGGGTTGGAAGACAAACTCGAGGACAGCACTACAAAGTCCGGCGAACGTAAACATTTCGTAAAACTGAAGGGTGTTTTGCTTGTTTATTTTTTCTTTCATGGCCTTGCTATTTTAGGAGATGGGATGAAGTTTGGGAGTTGCGGCAGCGAAGGGGGGAGTTAAGAAGAGGCAAAAAAAAGCGCTGGTGAAGGAAGGCAAAATGACATGAGGTCAACAGATGGTGCAGGGGGGAGGGGCGCAGGGGGTAATTACACAGGCGTCTACGAGCGGGCCACAGACAGAAGAGAGAGGTGATGCTATCCAAACACCGAAAGTAAGAAACGTCCCACCTGCTGCCCCCCGCCCACGCTGCTCCTCGTTAGCCAAAAGGTGCAATATACAACGGGTCAAGGCGTTCATCTTTATTGGGTCCAGTATAGAATCCAAAGTTGAGTCACAACTTTGAGCCGCAATTATAAAAAGTTTGATAATGGACATGAGGTAATTGGATATTCAGTACTGATTCACTGTTGGACTATCGAAGCATACACAAGTTGTCAACTGTTACAGAGGCGGTTCCCGAACAGATGCAGTCCTCCTAGTCTCTCCAAACTTGGGGCTAGTGCAGAGTGTCTGAAAAGTGGGAAATTAATTGCTAATGCTACGCAAAATAGGGTTACTGTAAGGTTTTGAGTA